GTAAAACTCATTTGTACCTGAAATGGAACGCCACCAAGCGTACTCACTATACTCCCTAAAGCTCTCATAAAGAGGTAGTGAATGTCGACATCAGGGTGAAAGTCGAGGACTCGGTTGAACTCTGCCAATGACATGGTGTGGGGGTTGTTGAAGAGTTGGAAAGAAATTCGAAAGTCGTTATTTTCTAGACTATCCACTTGAAAAGACGAGAAAAACTCTAATGTGGATTCTTGGTAGGTCATGAATGAGGAGTTTACAAATTACCCTAGTCGAAGGTTGTCAAAAAGAATCCACAAATCATCGTCTATACCGAGTTTTATCATGTCTCCACGATGGTAGTGCCTAGAAGGTCGCAACTTACGTTTTTTCATCTCGGAGTATATGGAGGAGTGGCTTTTGTTTAAGAATTTCAAGGTCGGTAAGGCATTGGGTTGGTCTGACTCTGGGTTTTGGGACGATTATCCCGACTTTGCAGTTTTTCTCTTCTTCCCAATCCTTAGACTCATGACTGCCCACCTCTTTTTTTTTCTGTTTTCACTCCTTTTCAAAGCCAACTCCGGCTATTTCCACCCTTAACCTCCACAAAACTACAATGTACCTGTTCACAAGCAATAATAACCCAACCAACACAACGAATATAACCTAAGATAATAACCAACAACAACAATTTCAACAGAATCTAGCAGTAATTTCAACAATAATCAATCAAATTTCTCTAATAACCTAGAATAATCAAAATCCTTGCTTAAAAATTAATCAAAGAGAATAATTAACGAAGGAAATTGAATACCTTTACCCTTATGCGAAAAATTGTTGTTTTCGGTGTCAAATTGTTGAGGGTTTTGAGTAGCAAACGAGTTCGTCGCGGTTGGTGTTGAGGATGACTAATTGCTTGCTTTGATGATGAACAAACGGAGAAGATGAATGATTGAAGCTTGAGGATGATTGATTGAAGAGGATGGAAGAAGAAATGATCTTGAGTATGGTGGTGAGGAGCGGCCGCGAAGGGAGAGAAGGGTGATGTTGTGTTTGTGAGGGTTTGGGGAAGATTAGGGAAATAAAAGATGAACCGTATTTTTTTCTGAAACCCAGAATGGCGCGCCCGCTCCCGACAAAGGCGCGCCCGCGCCTAACCAGGCGCGCCCGCTTCCAAGGTAGCCGCGCCCGCGCCTAAGTGAGAACGCGGCCCGCTCCTAAATCGCGATAAAATCGCTCCAACTCCCTGGAAATCAGACCAAGCTATTGTCGCGCCCGCGCTCTGAACAAGCGCGCTCGCGCCACTTTGGCATCACGTGCCGCTCACAAATCGCGACAAAATCGCTCCTATTCTCTGGAATTGGGTGAGTATTTGGACCAGAGAGCTGGCGCGCCCGCTCCTAAAACAGGCGCGCCCGCGCCTACTTTTTGACGCGGGCCGCTCCTTAATCGCGCTTAAATCGCTCCTACTTTCTGGAATGGGAGCAATTAACATTCATATAACAGGCGCGCCCGCGACTAAACCAGGCGCGCCCGCGCCTTTCTGCTCTTGCGGATCGCGCTGAGGTTCTGTCTCTTTAGTATTCATTCAAGCACAATTTCTCAAAATTCCTCATTTTTGCTTTACTCTTGACTCTCTTTCCTCGTGGGCACACGCAATCACACCTACATCAAAATTGATTGGGAAAAGTGTTAGATGGATTAGCTAAAGCGATTTGAAAGAAAATAAAATTAAAGAGGTTAGAAACCGGGTTGCCTCCCGTAAGCGCTTCTTTAACGTCACTAGCTTGACATACTTCACACGGAATCATGGTGACTTGAAAACGTCAATGAGCGATAAATTTTCCGGCTTCACAATTAGTTGACCCTCATAGTATGGCTTGAGACGGTGCCCATTCACTTTGAATGGAGGGTACTTGTCATTGAATACCTCAACTGAGCCATAAGGAAAGACTTTGGATACTTGAAATGGACCGCTCCATCTAGACCTCAATTTCCCGGGGAAGAGCTTGAGTCTTGAATTGTAGAGTAGGACCTTTTGTCCTTCCACAAATTCCTTCTTGGAAATTTGAGCGTCGTGCCATGCCTTGGTTCTTGCTTTGTAGAGGCTTGCACTGTCATATGCGTTCATTCTCAACTCTTCCAACTCATGAAGCTCTAGAAGTCTTTGCTCACCCGCACTTTGGAGATCAAAGTTGATTTTCTTGATTGCCCAATGCGTTCGGTGCTCCATCTCTACGGGTAAATGGCAATTCTTCCCATAAACAAGCTTATAGGGGGTAGTCCCTATAGGAGTCTTGAAGGCGGTCCTATATGCCCACAATGAATCAATGAGCTTACTAGACCAATCCTTCCTTGTTCTAGCAACGGTCTTCTCCAAGATGACTTTCAACTCCCTATTTGTGACCTCCGCTTGACCACTTGTTTGGGGGTGGTAAGCAAGGCCTCGCTTGTGCGATACACCATACATTGAAAGAAGCTTGTTGAATGTATGGTGCTTGAAGTGTGAGCCTCCATCACTTATTATTGCCTTAGGAACACCGAATCTTGGGAAGATGACTTTCTTGAACAAATTAATGACCACATTTGAGTCGTTGGTGGGAGATGCCACGGCTTCCGCCCACTTGGAAACATAATCAACGGCAACTAGAATGTGTCGGTTTCCTTGGGATGAGATGAAAGGGCCCATGAAGTCAATTGCCCAAACATCAAAAATTTCTAGTTCAAGAATCGGATTTTGGGGCATCTCATCACGCCTTGATATGTTCCCCGTCCTTTGGCACCTATCACAAGTCTTAACAAATTGCCAAGCATCTTTGAATAGAGAGGGCCAAAAGAGCATGCATTGCAAAACCTTGGAAGCGGTCTTTTGAGCACTCATATGACCACCACAAGGGGATGAGTGGCACATTAAGAGCACATCTTGGAACTCTTCATTAGGAACACATCTTCTCAAAAGTCCATCCACCCCTCTCTTCAACAACATGGGGTCATCCCATATATACTTCCTTGCTTCATGCTTGAGCCTTCGGTGTTGTTGAGTGAAATCCGGAGGTATGGCACTACAAGCCAAGTAGTTCACAATATCCGCATACCAAGGCTCCGATTTTGCCTCAAGAGCATATAAGACATCATCCATTAGGGCATCTTCAATTGGTAAACCGTCTTCATGTATTCTTGCACCTCCCAACCTAGAGAGGTGGTCCACCACCACGTTCTCGGCCCCCTTCTTATCTCTCATTTCGTAATCAAAGTCTTGGAGGACCAAGACCCATCTCAACAACCTCGGTTTGGCCTCCTTCTTGCTTATCAAATATTTGAGAGCCGAGTGATCGGTATACACTATTGTCCTAGAACCAATGAGGTAGGTTCTAAACTTCTCAAATGAATGAATAACCGCCAAGAACTCTTTCTCGGTAGTTGTATAATTCCTTTGAGCATCGTTGAGGGTCTTGGACAAATAGTATATAACATGAAGTTTCCCATCCTTTCTTTGTCCTAGAACCGATCCAATGGCCTCGTCGCTCGCATCACACATTAGCTCGAATGGTAGAGACCAATCCGGTCCTTGGACAATGGGGGCAGTGCAAAGATCCTTTTTCAACCTACAAAATGACTCATGACAAGCTTCATCAAATACAAATTCTTTATCTTGTTGCAAGAGAGATGTGAGAGGCTTAGCAATCAAAGAGAAATCTTTGATGAAGCGGCGGTAAAAGCCGGCATGACCAAGGAAGGACCTCACTTCTCTCACATTTGTGGGAGGAGGAAGCTTCTCGATCACATCAACCTTTGCACCATCAACTTCGATGCCCGCTTGGGAGATTTTATGGCCAAGAACAATGCCATTTTCCACCATGAAGTGGCATTTCTCCCAATTGAGCACCAAGTTGGCACTCTCACACCTTTCTAAATAACGAGATAAATTCATTAGGCACTTCTCATATGTGCCTCCACCAACGGAGAAGTCATCCATAAAAACTTCCATTTCTTCCTCGATCATGTCACTGAAAATTGACATCATGCATCTTTGGAAGGTAGTTGGGGCATTACAAAGACCAAAAGGCATCCTACGGTAAGCAAAAGTACCGTAGGGACAAGTGAAAGTGGTATTTTCTTGATCTTTTGGGTCAATTGGGATTTGGAAGAATCCCGAATAGCCATCAAGAAAGCAATAAAAAGCATGCTTTGTAAGCCTCTCAAGCATTTGATCGATGAACGGTAATGGAAAATGGTCTTTGGAAGTGTTGGCATTTAATTGGCGGTAATCAATACACATACGCCATCCCGTAACAAGCCGGGTTGGGACCAATTGTTGCTTATCATTGACCATTATCGTCATACCTCCCTTTTTCGGCACTACTTGAACCGGGGATACCCAATCACTATGAGCAATTGGATAGATGATCCCTGCTTCAAGTAGCTTGGAAACCTCTTTCCTCACAACCTCTTGCATGGAAGAATTAAGCTTCCTTTGCCGTTGCGTACACGGCTTAGCACCCTCCTCTAAATCGATTTTATGCGTGCATAGGGAGGGGCTTATACCCTTGAGATCATCAAGAGTATAACCCAAAGCCTTCCTATGATTTTTTAAAACACTAAGCAATGAGGAGGTTTTCTCTTCCGTGAGGTTAGCATTGACAATGACCGGAAAAGTATCATTAGCATCCAAAAAGACATACCTCAACCCCGAAGGTAGTGGTTTCAATTCTACCTTCGGAGCTCCCTTACCAATGGAGATTTCCTCCTCTTATACTTGGAAGACTTCATATGTTTGGAGCATCTCTTGGTCGGGGGTTGTCTCCTCTTTCTCATCAAGCATTTCCTCATATAATTGCATCTCCTTTTGATCACCTACCTCATTCTCATTCAACAAAACATTCTCAAGTAGATCATTAGAAGCATGCATATGAGGGTATCTAAACTCATTCATCAAGTTTTCAATTGTATCTATTCTAAAGCATTCATTGCTAGAGGAAGGTTGTCTCATTACCTTATTCAAATCAAATTCGATAGAATCATCGTCAACCTTCAAGAATTGCTTTAGAAGTAGCTAGGAATGGCCTACCCAAAATTATAGGAATTCTTTCATCTTCATCCATCTCAAGAACATAAAAGTCCACCGGAAAAGTGAACTTACCAACTCTAAGGGGTATGTCTTCAACTTTCCCTATAGGAAATTTTGTGGACCTATCCGCTAGTTGGAGGGTGATGTTTGTAGGTGAAAGGTTTCCCACATTAAGCTTTTGGTAGACCGAAAAGGGCATTAAGCTCACGCTAGCACCTAGATCACACAAAGCCTTCCCCAAATGAATCTCATTGATGGAACAAGGGATGGAAAAACTACCGGGATCTTGCAATTTGGTTGGTAGCTTACTAGAGAGAATAGCACTACAATTTGCGGTTAGGTTAATAGTTTCAACTTCTCTCCTTCCATTCAAAAGGTCTTTTAGGAATTTAGAGTAGTGAGGCATCTCTTTCATAGCATCCACAAAGGGTATAGAAACATGCAAGCTCTTTACTACATCTAAAAATTTTCCGAATTGGACATCAAGCCTAGACCTAGCAAATCTTTGGGGAAAAGGCAACCTCTCATTCCTAGGTTGGAGATTAAGGGGTAAAGATGTTTGATCTTTGGTGCTCTCCTTTTCGGGTTCCTTCTCTTTCTCTTTCTCACCCCTCTCATTCTTTCCGGCACTTCCCTCTAGAATCTGATTCTCTCTTGATGACTCATCCTCAACCTCAAGTCCTATCCTCACATCGGGACTCTTCTCAACATTTAGATCACTCTCAAGGATCTTCCCACTTCTAGTAGTAATTGCATACATAGACTTGGGGTTGACACCTTGGCAAGGTAAAGAAGAAGATGAAGAAGGGGAGGATGAAGAACTTGATTGGGCAATTTGAGAGATTTGGGTCTCAAGCATTTTCATGTGTGCCTTGATTTGTTTCTTTTCTTCCTCTTGACTCTTATTATGGTTTTCTTGATTTTTAATGAAATTTTGAAGCATAGTCATCATAGGATCCGGAGGGGCTTCTATTTGGAGGGGTTGAGTAGGGGGAATTTGAGAATGGGGCCTTACTTGGTCAAAACCGGGGGGTCTACTATTTTGTTAGAAAGTAGAAGCATTTTGAGGTCTATTACCCCCGGAACCCTGATTGGAATTAAAACGTTGTTGGTTGTTGGAATAGTGTTGTTGGTTTTGATTCCAATTGGGCCTTTGGTTTGAGTAGCTTCTTCCATTGTAATTGGAAGAGTTTCCCCTACCTTGGCCTTGGTTATCATAACCACCACCACTTTTATTCCATTGATTTTGATTCCAACCTTGGTTTTGATTCCAACCACGGTTTAGGTTTTGATTCCAATTTGGCCGCATTCCATTATTTCCCTCACGGGGCACAAAATTCATGGCATTAACATCTTCAACATTATCATCATTTTCATGGGGAGGGGGACCTTCACTTATGGACATACATTGTTGAGAATTATGATCATAGCCTCCACATATATCACAAAACATACAACCGAGAGGCATGGCATTGTAATTAGAGGGAGAAGAAGTAGAAGGATTCATACCATGGCCTCCCTTGGGAGAAGGGGAGGAAGTATTTTGAGAACTTGATTTCATGAACTCCTCCATTTGTTTCGCCATCTTTGCCATTTGGTTGGAAAGATTTGTGATGGCATTGGTTTGCTCGACGGATTGTACCGTTCCTTTGCTAGAAGTGGCTTCCCTCTCACCTTCGTACCAATCCTCATAATTGCGCACAACATCTTCTATGATGCTCTCCACTTCATCTTCCCTTTTGTTCATGATTGGGCCTCCGGCTCCGGCATCAAGGCTAGTCTTTCTTTGAGGGGAGAGTCCTCCGTAGAATGTTTGGAGAACTTGCCAATTAGGAATCCCATGGTGTGGGCATTGCCTTTGTAACTCTTTGAATCTCTCCCATGGCTCACAAAGAGACTCTCCACCTCTTTGGCGGAAACTTTGAATCTTTGAGCGAGCCTCAGCGGTTTTCTTGTGATTGTAAAACCTTCCTAGGAACGACGTAGTTACCTCATTCCAAGTCGTGAGGGAACCGGGGGGGACATCCTTGTTCAACCAATGTTCCGCCGCTCCCATGAGTGAGAACGGGAACATCTTCAATCTTATGTACTCTTGGGAGACTCCGTTGATCTTGATAGTGTCACAATACTTGAGAAACTCTTTGAGATGCTCATGGGGATTCTCAAATTTCCCACCGGTAAATTGCCTCTTCTCTATCATTGAAATGAAATTAGGCTTTATCTCGAAATTGTTTGCTTGAGTGGTGGGGGCTAAGATCCCACTTTGAGAGGCATAAGGTTCGGGTGCTCCAAGTTGCTTTAGTGACCTTTGATCACCCATGTTTCCTTGATCAGCCATGCTTTGTTGATTATGGTATTGGGTAAATGGGTTGGGAATTGAGCCTGTGGATGGTTCGCTCTCCTCACTTGAAGTGGGTGAAGATGGGGTAGGGGAACTTCTTACTTCCTCTTGAAGTGGGTCTTCACCTCTCTCCCTTGCTTGTCTCCTCAATTGGGCTAGAGTACGCTCTAGCTCGAGGTCTATGGACACCAAAGGCCTAGAGAAATTAAGCCTCCTGTGCATATACAAAGCTAAGCAGAAAGTGAGCACTGACAAGATATGGAAAAACAAAAGAATAGAAAAGAACTAGTCTCAACAAGAAAATAAACACACAATGGAAACCGTTTCCCCGGCAACGGCGCCAATTTGACAGGCGGTATTTTAGGTCGTTACTAAGACACCTCTATCAAATGATATTTGTAGTCCTAAACATGCAACTAAAAGAGTATAGAGGCAAGTTAAGGGTCGAACACAGGGAAACGATTAAGCACCGCTATTTATCTCCTAATGTTAATCTAATTCGATCAAGAAGTATGGTGGGTAAAGTAATGACTAAAGGGGATATAATAACAATTAAAACAAGCACTAGGGGGAAGGATCAAACATGCTATGAATTCAACAAAGTTAGGCATCGGAAAATAGGTTTACATGTAACCCAAGCAACTCATACAAGGCAATATCAAGAATACTCTCTAATCACCTATCGGGATTAAGAGCTTTCCTAGCTAGCATACACTCACACTATCGTCGTAAGGCATACAAGCTAAGGTCATGCAATAATCAATCACCTAATGACTATTCCTAAGTCGCACTATCGTCACGATTTAGTTCACGTCATTCAACCACAACATGCATATGGCCATAAACATGGAGTGGCTAATAAGTATAAGCACAAGGAAGATTTAATCACAAATATTCCAAATTAACCTAGCCTAGCATACATCAAACTCAAAGCATATCTTCACCAAACCCCTAGCAACAAGAAACTACTCACTAGTCATAACTACAACTACAATCATACTAAGCAACATTATAACCAATGAAATAGTAAGAAAGACAAAGTTTTTATCAACTAAACTAACAAAGGTAGAAACTTTAATCATAAAAACAAGAGAAAATAGAGAAATATACCAAAACCTTCATTGAAATCCAAATAAAGAGCCACACATCATTCAATCTCCAAGCTTGACCATACATCAATGTTGCAAAATTACTTCTTAAAAAACTAAGAGTAAAACTAATGTTGATAGACAATGAAAATTACACTAAAAACTATCAAGATTGTTCAATACAAAAGTGGCTAAAACAAAAACCTAGAAAAATTCCTTAAAAGCTCTCCTCTAAGGTTTCTATGCTAAAATAAAATCCCTATGATAGAATGTTCTCCCTCGTTAGTCGTTTTGCCTCCCCCTCTTGTTAATTTGGGCTGAAACCGGGATTTGAATCAGCAGCAGACAGGCGCGGCCGCTCCTAGAAATGCGCGCCCGCTCCAAAGTGGGTATTTAATGGTTGGTCCAGCTCATCAACGCGCCCGCGCTTAAGGGATGCGCGCCCGCGCCTATAGGTGGCGCGCACACTCCTCTGGTGGCGCGCCCGCGCCATTTGCCTGGTCTGGATTTCTTCCCGTTTTGCCCTTGTTCCTTCCATCTCCGAATCAACGGCATACTCCTGCAATCATAAAATAGGAAAGCAAGGCGTAATACAACGAAAGGGGATGGGAGCATAGACTACCTAAACCATATGAGTACACATTACGCGCCATAAAGGTAGAATACTCGAACTAGGCGGATCATAGCAAAAACATACTAAAATGGACCGAATTATTACTAAAACTACTAGAAAAGACTGTCCTAAGAGCGACATAAATGTCACTCATCATTTGACTTAGTATTTGCCCAGCTTATACTTAGTTCAATCATTTACTTAGTTTTATACATATGGGTCGAAAGCCTTTTCAAGTTCTTCATGTTTAACACGGTAAATTCCTCTACTCGTTTAAAAATTTCATTAAGTCTATCCAATAGATCTTAATTCCCACTATGTACTAAGTGTCGCCTTTTGCTTGGTCCATTGTCGAAAATCCTTTCAAACCTAAGCATTTAGTATTTGATAGTCATTTCACAGTAGAGTTCACAAACTTCTTGTTGGACCATACAAGATTGACCCTTGCTCCCACTAAACTTCTTGTTTATAAGAATTTCTATGATTCTCCATTAGCCAAACCTTTTATTGACTTTAAGAGAATGCATGTTCCAATTCCTACATGCAATGCTTCATTTAATCCCACAATGGATTTCTTGAGCTTGCTTTCAAATCTAGCATTTATTTAGAATTACAAAACCCTTAGACTATTTCCATAGTTTCTTCCAAAATCCAATTTTAGGAAGGCGATTTTGTATTTTGCCATATTTCATATGCGCAATTTTTCTAGAACAATATTTTTCCAACATGCAACTTTAGCGTTCCGATTGGTGAAAAGGTTTTTATTAAAATCAAAGCCGTGAATTAATTGTATCATTTTCAACCAATCTAGCTTTGTATGCTTATGCATTTCCACATTTGTCCTTGAAAACTTATTTGCGATTAATGGGTCTGTCACCCTTCATGCAAATGAATCAAGTTCCAAACATGATTTACAAACATGGAGTCTATTTCAGATTTTATGGTCTCTAACCATTATTTGGAATTTGGATTTGTCGTAACTAATTTACAAGACACTATTCCCTCACCATCCAATGGTGAATAGTATGCTTGTAAGTCTTAGGTTTATTTCTAACTTAGTAGAAATTTATAGGATTCAATCCAAGCCTTTGGTGAATTCTATACCTATACGGGGTAATAGGTTAAGCATTTACATTGTCTATTTGATTCTGACCAATCTTATCAACTGCTTCTAAAGCATTTTGATTGTTAGTTTTATCAGGTTGACACTGTTGCTCGTCCTCTCGAACTTTGTTGAGTTCGATTTTCTTCCCACTTGTCATTTTGGAAAGGTGTTACTTTCCAGAAAGACACCATTTAGAGCAACAAATACTATGTTCTCAATTAGGTTGTGGAGGTAATGCCCGTAGTCTCACTTGAATACTTACAAAGAGACATGTATATTATCTTTGGGTAAAAGTTCGTTGTGAAACAAACAGTTAGCTCCTTCTCGAGCTATCTTAGCCCTTATTGAGCCACTTAGCTCCCACTGAGTCAATGAACTCCCACTGAGCTAAGAGCCCTAGTCATATACTTGAAAAGACGCTACAAACTATTTCTATCCATAACTAAATATAGTGTCCTTTCTTAGCTTCGACATTTTTGTTTAGTGTAACATTTAGTCATTTGTGCAAATCTTTAAGAACTTTATAGGAAGGGATGTGATCCATCATCATTCGAGTCATTTCCAAATGGCATCGAGGTCTCCGTCAAGAAACACTATGTTCTTTGTGGAGCTCATTGTGAAATTTCAATTTCATAAGTTTGATGTGATCACACTTGGCTCAAGAAAACATCGCTCGATCTAATCTAGCTAGACGTTGTGAATCTTGCCAAGTCGATTCTATACTTCACTGAACATTTGAGCTACTCAAGGTCCAGTTTTCTCACATTTGATAATATAGCCATATTCTTGCAAATTCTTGTGAGACATTGAAGTAATGAATTCCTTTTAGCTTTCGGAGTCAATTCTCTATACCAAGCACAATAGCTCCTTTGTTTGTCGATTTCAACAAGTAAGACTTTCTTGTCTTAGAACGATTCCGAATCAATCATTTATCAAGATTCTATCTAATAGAGCCTTGAGTACGTTCTTGTTGTTAGTGACGTTGCTAAAGGGTTTGGAACACAAATCATGTCCATGACTTGAACTTTGTGAGTTTCATGGTTGGGAAATGTTTGTTTATAATCAAGCATTCTTGACTCATGGCTTATGCGACCATGTCATTCAAGTAAACCTAGCAACTATTGCTTTTACTTTTGAATGTGAGTCTTTCCGTGTGTAAACGGATCGTTTGCTTATTATGGAACACAATGACCATTATTTGTTCCAGCCTTAGTTTTAAAAGGACTTTAAAAAAAACAAGTGACCTTACAACTGATGTAGCATTACTTGCTTCATTCTAAGATTGTAAGTCAATAACTTAGCTTGTCTTCAATAGTATGAGGTCACTTTCAAAGTGGAACACTCAAGTAGTATCCAATACTTGTGAAGATAACGAGTTGCTAAGTTGACCATAATAACATGAACTCAAGCGTAGAAAAGGAATCTCATACTTTTCTTTGTTCCTTGTTTCCTATATTTCTTACAGTACATCATCTCAAGCGTAGAAAAGGAATCTCATACTTTTCTTTGTTCCTTGTTTCCTATATTTCTTACAGTACATCATCTCATAACTTTAAGAATCATTTCTTTAAGTTCCTCGACTTTTATACTTTGTTAGGCATAATTAAGCATCTAATGCGCCGCAAAACAAAATTCTATCTTTTCAGCTAATTCGTACCTGAATTACTTCATCAATGAGTCCTACTCATAAGCGTATGAAGTGAAAAGATATGTTGGTTTGTCAACTACTGACAATTTTGAGTTTTTTCAACTCAATATTTCATGTTTGTCAAAACTACCTAGTATTTTGAAAATATGATATCCAACCGTCCTTTCGGACTTTAGTCGTTTATGAGAAGTTTTATCTTAGAAGTGCCCTTTTCTTTCTTCAAGAACCATTCTCGAAAGATTTCTTTTACCAATCAATGGAAACAATATAATTTGATTACGAATTCTACAAATATAAGTGCAAAGTATAACCATTTATCAAGTTAATATCATAATAAGTTTGAAATTTAAAGCCATACATGCAAACTTTCAATCTTATTACGCGTCTTATCCACGCATTATAAATTGTCCCTCTTAGGCGAGAATTAAACAATTTTAAGATCCCAAAAATCAGAAAGTGATTAAGCATGCTTTGGCTTGTCTTAACACTTAATATTTTAGGGTAAGCAATCCAATTGCTAATAGCTCCAAGCTACTCTTGGTTCGATAAAACGTCGCATCTAATGCTTCCTTGACATTTTATCTCCATTGCCACGACATCTAAGGACTCCTTACTGATATCGTTAAGCTTAACCAAGACAACTTGTATACCTAGTATACCTTACGTTCCTAGGGAAGTAGTGATGCCTCGCTTTGGCGTAGCCCATCACATACGCACATTAGTTCGGTAAGTGTTGTTCTTGGAATGGCATATTTTAGCTCAATATTA